AATTTGAGAAGCTAGGAAGTTTGGCATTGTTTAGTCTTCTTTATATCTAATTTGACTTTAATTCTTGAATCTGTTGCCAAGGCCTTGGTCTTCTTTTTTTCCACCCCCTTCATGAATTTGCATTTAATACTTTGCTCGACAATTCTACATTTTTATTCTTGAAGTTATATTGGATGTTTAAAATCATGTCCATTACTTATGGTTAATACTAGAGGCATCTTGTGAACTCCTATAGTAAACCTGCATATGTTGATACATTGATTTCTTCGTAGCAAGGGCAACATTTATGACTAGAATTGCTTTAATAATTTCAAGTGCTTAATTCAACAAAGTGAAGACTTTTTGAGCTAGTCAGATTTGATGCAATTCATCATTTTGAGTTTGGTCTTATTCCTTACTAATGTTACTCTAGTTTGTGTATGTTTCAGATCTTTATTTTCAGTTTTAGTAGTTTTAAGTATGGTTTTAAATATCGAATTGGATTGGCCGATTTGACCGGTCCAACTGTGAACCGATCATTCGATCAGTTTGGTCAAGCTCGAAATCATTTAGGTATGCAACAGGGTTCCAACCAGTTAGAACCATGGTTGAACCGGCGAAGCAGTGAATCGGTGCTGTTTTTAAAGAATCGGCAGGCTCTAGTATTTCTAATTTTAGCCTTTTGGATTTTGATCGGATTACTAGAAAGATATTTAAATTAAAAATGGAGATGATTTCACGTTGAAAATTATGATTTAGAATATTATTCAAAATATTTTTGAAGTGGAGTGTCTTAAATTAAAATATTGTTTACTAAATCGATAAAAATAGTATTATTGCATCATTATTTTTTTATTTAAATTATATTTGAATAATTTTAATTATTACATCGTCCGGTCCAACCCCTATTGAATTATTGAATCTTCAACATATTCCACTTCGATTTCTGTTCCAGTTTTCACAATTTTGGTTTTGAGTATACTTATGATGATGATGCTTATTAAGAAGGGTAGCGTTCTGTACTTTCATGTGTTGTGTGAATGTTTGAAGATGAATTCCTTTGTGTGTGTGCTAGTTTTTGGGAAGTTGAACTAAAGTAAGGGATGATTTTTTTTCACTTTAATCTTGTTCATTAATCTATTATTTTCTCTAATATTTGTTTCCAAGCCTTGATTTTGATCAAATCTGTCACAATTTGGTTTTCCATAGCATTGAAAAAAAAACTCAATTGCATGTTTATTTTTCATACTTTTTTTTTCAAATATGATAGATCGTTGCATCATGTTCCTGGTTCCATTCTGATATTTTTAGGTCTAGACCCATAGGTATTTTTGAGCATGTATTGGTCTTTGTTGTGTTAATTGATATTTTCTTTATGTGATATGGATTCATTGCGTTATTCTAGTTGTATTAGAAATTCTAAATTCCTGATTGTTCTAAGTGAGAGTTAGTGCTTTAATCTTTACGGTTTAGTTAATTTTTGTGTAACATCAATTGAGTTATTTTGTTCTTGCATGTTGCTCAGATTTAATGAAAATATAAATCTTAAGGTATTTATTATTATTATTATTATTATTTCACACATGCAAATGCTCACACACCTGCATATGCAGCGCCTTGAACCCATAAATTTATTGGTTGAAAGACAGGACTCGACTACTAGGTCAGGTGGCTTGCATAAATTTTAAGGCATTTATTGTTTAATTTATTTTTAATTATAAAAATTTTATTTATCATAAATTTTAAAAATATATAAGGCTTATATTCTTATTTCTGTATATTCAAAATCTAATTTCATAATGAGTTTGATAGAAATAAAAACATGAAGATTAATTACTAAATTTAGGGAGGGGAGCATTATCTATTGAATATATAAGGTTATAGAAAATTGGCTTTTGGTGATTTGAGCGTACATAATGCAGGTTGCGGATGCTTCAATAGAAATAAATCAGTAGATAAGTTTTACCTGAAATGATTTCAAAGAGAAACATGTAGATAAATTTAATATGGAAGAATTGCAAAGAAAAACACGTAGCCCAAGCATGGCCTGGTTAGATTTGTGTACTCCACAAAATCTATTCAAAGCATGGTGTGTGTGTGTGTGTGTGTGTGTGTGTGTGAGAGAGAGAGAGAGAGAGAGAGAGAGAGAGATAAATTTTTGCTGAAGTCCTTGTCTCTGGTAACTTGAATATTGCTTGATGCAAGCTTTGCTAATGTGTCAGTTCAACCTAGGTTTGTTAAAATTGGAACTAGCACCAATTTTGTGATGACTAGACATTTTATGTCGTCATTTGTGGTATGTATATGATGAGAATGAGCCACAATTTGCAATATTTTGTGGAAACATAGAATTTCATAAAAATCATTTTATTAAATGAGACTGGTCTTCATTAATCCTCATTTGGAGCGAGTAGAGACAAAAATGGAAGTTTTACCTTCGATTAGCAATCTCTTTTTTACACTTAATGTAAAGGTAGATAACCTAGTCCTCATTTTTAAAATTTATTTCATGGAAATGACAATGGAACAGGAACATAACTTAATCCTCATCTATAATTACTCCCCAAAACACTTATTTAATTTATACTTGCTCATGGTATTTAATAATCCCTTTTCATTCCATTAATATCCCAAGGGAACTTAGATGATCGTTTTCTTGAAGGATTGGTCGCATTTTTTGGCATGTTTGTTTTTTGGGTCATGCTTTGTTGGGTTTTGATTGGAACGAAAATAGTTGGACATTTTGAGCTGCCACAAAATAGCTTTAGTGAAACTGTGAAACTGATGTTTGGATCGAAACGAAAATAGATTAAGACTTTTTGAGTAGCCACACATTTCCAAAAAAGGAGTTGATGTCTCATGATGTATTGGCAGTGGTCCTTATGTAAGGTTTAATTCTTTCATTTGATAAGTTACCATCCACCATGTGGAGGTATGCAAAGTTGATAATTCTGCTATTTCCTAGTCCATATGTAGTTTCCTTGATAATCTAGATAAGTTTGTTATAAATTTGAATACTAAGATGGATGTTTGTCAAAATTAAAAAATATTAAGTGAATTATTATATTAGAGACATGGTGGGAGTAGTAGTTATTGAAGGTGGTACAAAAAACAAACCTCAAAGTTGTACATACATATAAAATGCAGAAAAGATCCACGATCTATGAAAATTAGTTTTGAATAATTAGCATGGAAGAGAGAGATCAAAGATAACATTGCTAGCAGTTTTGTGACCCAAATCCTTATTAAATAGTAAGGTGTAAAATGGTGAGGTTGGGATTTATGTAATTTTTCGTTAGTGAGATTTGTTGTTAAGTCTTGAGGTGAATCGAGGCATAAACTTTAAATAAAAAATAAAAATAAAAATAAAAAACTTATCAGAAATAAGTCATAGATTTACCATAAAGTATCATTTTGCACTTTTCACGTGCTTTGTTATTAAGTGATTTTTCAGCTTTTTAATACCATTAGTATTTCTCTTACAGTTATACTCTATTTTTTACATCTTCTGATATTTCAACTTTAAGTGCCATATTTCGAAGTTGATTATTCTTCAAGCCCCACTGCCCATTATAATTAGCTAAAAGAATAATAATATAAAAATTACTTAAATTGACAAAAGTATTAAAAAATAAAACAGTCAAAAGATAAAATGAAAAATAAAAAATCTTTAAAAGAAAAGAAAATATAAAATTAATTAAAAATGATTGAAAAATTTATGTATTTAAAAAGTAAATATTAAAAACAATAAAAAGTTAACGAATAGTGATTTATTAAAAAAGACTAATAAATAAATTAAAAAAAACTAAAAATCAAATTAAAAGTATGCATTTTTGGTATATATATATATATATATATATATATATATATATATAGATATAGATATAGATATATATAATAAAGTTGAAACAAAATATGTTTAAAAATATTTTTTTAATTCTTTTTATATTATAATTTGAGAGTTTGCCTCAAATACCTCAGTCAAAAATACAGACGTCTCATTCAAACCATTACAGTGCATGTCTCGAGGAGGTTTTTTGGTGTTTCATGGTGAGGCTTGTGCCTCAAACACCTTTTTAATCTGATGCTCAATGTAGTTATCATGTCATTCAACAATCTACATGAATATATGCCAATGATAAGCCATTAAGATCCCTTAATAGTTTGGATAAGACTTTAGATCATGCTGATGATGAATCTTGGCAGCCATCTCCTATGGGATTTACCAAGTTCTAGAGCTAGCAACTCTCGTTTTTGTTTAAAGTTTTTTTCTTGCTTGAGAATTGAAGCATAAAGCTCTACGTTTGAGTAGTGGATTATTTTTGAAACCGGAGTGGTTATTGTCTCCATTGTTGCAAGTGAAACATGGAATTAAGGCCTTAACATACTTGCATGCTAGATGGCTCTTGAACACTATTTATTTACTATTATTATTTTTTGATTTTTGGGTTGGACTTTATTAATTCACTCTTATCGGTCCAACATGTTAGGTTTGACTCCGTTTCATCTCACACGGCAAATGAATATGCTTTTTACAATGTTTCTTTGCATAGTTGATGACTTGAATTTGAGTGTATTCCTATGTATTTACATATCTAACACCTAAATTTCATTTTTTACGTGTATGCTACCTTAACCATGGATGAAAACTTGAATTTTACTTTTTAAAACTTAAAATAGTGATATTTTTTTTTGTGATATGAAAGATTGGGTGGTATAAATATAATAAAAACTAAACCTTAGGTGTAAGAAATGTAATTACATAATATATATAGTGCGCGTACCGTGGCCTATTGGTAGAGTAGTCTCTCTGAAGGTTGTAAGTCCCCTCAGGTCACGGGTTCGAATACCCCAGTGTAGAGGGTGTGGTACTCGAATATTTAGCACACCTAGGAATGACCGGGTGTGGTACTCGAATCCTCGTCTAATAGCCTCCCAATCATTCCTTATATATATATATATATATCTGTGTGTGATGCCCTTATTATTATTTATTATTATTATTTTTCTTCTTTTTTTAGATCTTCGGGATGACAACCAGTTCTTTATCGACCACCCTGGTGCCATGGCTATCAGTACCATGCAGGTGCAGCTGATCACATCACAAATATTTCTATCCTCATCAGCATAGATTTTTTTCTAAATCATTTGTTTCGATTTAATGATTCGTTTAGGGAGAAGAGCTTAGAAAGCAAATAGGCGCGCTCGCCTACGTCGAATGCAGCTCGAAAACTCAGCAGGTAAAATGTCCCCTCGTGTTCACAATTCACCATTTTCAACCTTCCCTATAAACGCCGAAGAATCCACATTTACTCATATTATTCTTCACAGAATGTGAAGGCAGTCTTCGATAACGCCATTAAAGTCGTTCTTCAGCCGCCAAAGCACAAGAAGAAGAAGAAGAGAAGATCACAGAAGGGTTGCTCCATTTTATGAAGAAGAATGGAAGGAATAAAAGGATCTGCCAGTTATGCTCTTTACCGTGTTTGGATTAATTTTTCTCTAGTGTATATTTAACTAACAAGCAGCATTAGTAAATTGTGGTAGGACACATATCTTTGATGCGCTCCCTTTTCTCTCTCTATTTCTCTGTTTGCTCTCTCTGCTTTAGTCATGTTAGTACTCTGCTCTTTGGCCTCCTATACATAAATATTTGATGTATGCGGCCATCTGAAGCTAGTTTTTATTTTATCATTAGACTTGCTATTATTATTGTTATTTTGCATCTTTAATTCAATGTTTGTTGAGGAGAGTTTGGTAAATATGTGCTACTCTTTGATTGCTTCTCTCTAGTCTTTTATAAATCTTCCTCTAATATGATCGTACAAATCAGAACTTGCTATGTTATAGATTTTGGAGATGTTAAAATTAAGGGAGATTTACATATTACCACACAACTATGTATTTATATCCAACACCCAAATTTAGATATTCACACTTGTAACGAATTGTTATTATAAGCTCATGTATGAAAAGATGTGTTTTACATTTAAATGAGCTATTTTTTATATGATAAAGCTTTGTGTGGTATGCCAAGTAAATATGAATGCTTAGGTGTTAGATATGTGCATATATAAGAATTTTGTGGGTATGTGAATGCACCCTTTTTTATCTATATATATGCTTTTTTTCTGTATGCATTAAAAGGTGTATTTTAATTTTTAGAAGATAAAAATAGCGACTTTTCGTGTGATACGAAAATTTTGGGTGGTGTAAATGTAAAAAAGATTTAGGCGTTGGTTGCAAATAGTTAGGAATTTGATGGTATATTTGTAAATGCCCCTAAAATTAATGGTGGTGTCTGTAGTCGTCGTTATATGATATGAGTTGCATGGGTACGGTTCTAATGTTAAGTTTTTAAAATTATAGGCTAAGAATAGGTTGGATGCACTTTTGAAAATTATTTGTTTAATTGAAAAATAAACTCATAAACTCATGTTTTAAAATCATTGTTTCCGGTTAGTGCAAAATTCAAATTTATCTTGTGAATTGCATCCAAGAAATATATCATAGAAAAATAGGGGATAGAGAGAGAGAGAGAGAGAGAGAGAGAATAAATATTATAATGATAAAATTGTGTAATTTTTTATTTATGAAATGATCCTCTATTATAGATAAAAGGAGTACAATATGTGAAGTTATATTTATGTTCAGGGGTTGGTTGGACTTGATAGGACTTTGGCGAGCCTTGTTGATCGTTGGATTTGATAGTGCCGCTGGTTGGATAGATCAGTTGTTGTTGGCTAGCTTGCTGGCTGCGAGCCAGTAAGACTTGATCGGCTAATTTTGTCGATTGGTAGGCATGATTCAGTTTTCGACCCTCAATCTCCACCATGGAGCTTCCTCCTATCAGTAGGCATAATCCGGTCATCAACACTCGATCTCCACTAAGGAGTTTCTGTTGAAAGAGTAAAGATGGGCCATCAGATAGGGTAAATCTTTGTAACTCAACGGGTAGCCTTCTCTTAGATTAGAGTATCCTGGTGGTATGGTTGAGACATGTTGTATTCTCTTGTTGATATTGGGGGAGGCGACTGAGTGATCCCGGTATGACAGGGTGTGGGGACTAGATGCTCCCTATGACAAGCTTGGATGACTCTTCACCTATCGTCTGAATGAGCTGCTCGGGCAGATAGCATTTCGACTGTTGTTGTGATTTAGGTAGCCTCGGGTTTGTCATATTTGGTTGGATATCTAGTTCGCCGATTAGCCTTTGGTGAGCTCTCTTGGTTTTAAGGTTTTTTCTACTCGATCGTTATATTTCCTCAAGATTCGAGCTTACTTTTTTCAGTATACAAATAGGAATTTTAATCTTTCAAATCAAATATTATTAATCATAATTATGATAAATAGAGAAATTAATACATGGTTTGTAAGAATTTTTTTGAAGGTCTATCGAGATGTGGAAGCATGGCTATGAATATGAAACATAGTGAATTAAAACTGATGCCTTCTAAGAAATTTGAGGTGTTAGAGTAACAAATAATTGCTTAGTGTTGTATGAGAGTCTAATACACACTTGGATAAGAAAAGATTATTACTAGGAACACAAAAAGTTTATACAATCATTGTCTCGCATGTGGGTAAAGGTTACATAGTTTCTCAAATTATAACGTCTATGCGTAGAAGAACTTGTTGCCTCGTTGTAGGGAGCGGGTGAAAACCCATGGTGATCAACAGTGGTTGGCGGGTGATGGTTAGAGTTGGTCGAAGGCGGTGGCAGCGACAAACATGACTAAAGGAGGAGGAGGCGGTGGAGGCCGGAAGCGGTAGAGGCCGCTGAAGGCGGTGACTGGAGGTTGTTCAATGTCCGAAGATGGCCGTGACAGGAGGCGGTAGCTGCCAGAAGTGCTGGCGGAAGTCAAAGGTAGCAGCTTTCGACAGCTGCCAAAGTTGGTCGGATCTGTAGTACTGTAGTACAGGAAGCTGCACAATAGCTCTTTTGGAAGCTTGGATCTTCCGCTTACACTCATGAGGGGGATAGAGCTCTATGTAAAGTCCATTTAACACATAAATAAAAAATCCCGATGACTCTTGATTCAACGACCCAGAAAGACCACCTTGATCGGATGGCATTCGATAAACTTTTTAGTGTCATATTAATGTCAGAATTGAGAGACCCAGGATTTGAATATAAGCACGCCATATTCATAATTCGTTTGACATTCCAAAAATGCCCAAAAATTTCCCAAAAGTAACTTAATGGCTGGAGTCGTATTAGGAATTCGTTTGATATTCTAATTATGTCCGGAAAGCTCCCAAAAGTAGCTTAGTGGCTTGATTCGAGTTTGATTTGACTCGATTAGATCTATTTTGTTATCGTTGGGTCTGCCTTGTCGAGCCGGTCAATTTGACTTTAAGTTTGCTAAAATCGGAGTTCTATATGACTTTTAAACAAAGCTTAAACTTTTTTGCTAAAAAAATAACCTCTAGATCAGTGTCATACATCATGATTCATGTCATAATATAGAAATTTATTGATGGTGTATAAAAACTATTGGGATGATTATTATTATCAATTGTATAACGGTCACTCGATATTCAAGGATCATTTAGAGTTTAGTTGGATTATTTTTATTTTTTATTTTTGTTTTTTAAAATGTATTTACATAATATATTTTTAAAAGTTATATTAGCATATTTTACAAAAAATATAAAAAAAAATAAATTTAGATATTTCGAACAATTTTAATTTATTAAATATATTTTAGTTCAAATTAAAATATAAATGAAATAAAATAAAACAAATAATAAATAATAATATAAAAAAATATATCTTAGTTATGGCTTATTGTTTTTCCTTACCCCCTCATGTATTGACTTGGTGTTATATATAAATCATTGTGAAAAAAAGAATTAAGAACAAGACAAATAACTAAAATGCGGCATGTTCTTAAGACTGGTTGGTTGAGTACTTTATCCCCATCAAAGAGATAATGGGGTTGGAATTTAATGAGCCCAATCAAAACCTCTTGAGATCCATTCATACTTCCTCGAGCTTAGAAATAATTGAAGTCTATAATTTCACTTTAATGATTATTTTTTAGGGATAATTACATTAAAAATATTATTATTTACAAAATCTAAAACATACACGAAGTATTTGAACTACCGAACCGATGTATTTACGAGAGTTAAGATCAAATCATTTACAATTTGATGCAAATGAAAACACGGGTTACTGTTTTATCATGAATTTTTATCGAGCGTTTGAATTGTAAATAGCAATGTTTCGGATTTTCAAAGTGCAAAATATTATTGCTCTCCAATGAGAGAGGCAAAGCATGGTGGAGATTAGCATGCAAAATGGCATAATATCCTATATAGTAAAATTTTCACATTTATCTTCACCTTTTCCCCCACTTAATTCAATCATGACTTCACTAGTACTGCTATTTGTTACCTTCACTGTTTCTCCCACTTATCTTATTCTGAGTAAGACCAACCTTTCTTCAGCTAAGATTCTGTTAATGCAGCACTCTTCCAATCACTTCTTTTGCCATATTTAATCCATGTGAAATAGATTAAATAATTGGATTGCTTATACTTTATTGGAGAGATTAAACATTTAACTATTTGGAAGTTCAATATAATCTCGCTTGAATGACATGCTTGCAATTTTATTGATGATCACATGTAAAAACACTATACACAATAACAAACGTGGCGATTGGCAAGCATCAACAATTTTGTCATAATGTGCATCGATCTGATAGGTAATGGTTATGTTAGTAGTGTGTATTAATTTTATAGAGAATAATCTGTGATGATGACATGCATTTGTCATATAGATGATGTTGTGTGTCAACATTGTTGGCAATGATAGGCAATGACATTAATATGCATTGATCTTATAAGTGAACATTTGTTTCATTGAAATACATTAATAACATGCATTGCTGTTATTGATGATGGAAGACAATAAAGTATTTAGGCGTTGTGGTCGGAGACTATGGTCGGGCAATCATAATAAGTGATGAAGGTCAAGAAATAGTAAAAAAACAATAATATTCGGGAAAACATAGTCAAGTGATAGTGATTGAGTGACTTATAGTTAATTGATGATGGTTAGATGACTGTGGTTAGACTACCATACCTCAATGCTATTAGTTGGGCAATTGTGGTCGTGCATTCGTATGTAGATAATGATGGTTGAAACGTACTTTGGTGAAAAATGTTAAGCTACTATAGATAGACGATTGTTGTGTAGCCACAGAGGTCAAGTGGCAATAGACATGACTTGTAAATGGATGACAGTGAGCCGACAGATGCAAATATGAATTTGTTGTTTGACGAAATTGATCAAACAAAAGTGATCTGATGATGATGGTCGAATGATGACATTATGATAAAATGATAGCAGTCCAATGATGGGGTTCAAGCAATGGTTACAATTGGATAGACCTCAATGATCCTTCAAACTTCTTAGCTATCTCTAATCTTTAATTTTAGCCAAATTCATAATCAAAATCATCGCCCCCTCCCCCACAAATATAGAGATTATGGGTCCAAAAGTACCACAAAAATTCATAACACCATTAGATGCCCAAGAGCAATTCCTTTAATGCCAAATATATTTTTTAAGTATTTGAGTACCCGAATGATATTAGAATTATGACTGGTATGTAAATTTCCCTTACTATTATTATTAATTTCTTAGAACATTTCTATGAACAAACAAACAATCAAACCCTAAACCCTAGACCCTAAACAAAAGAGAAGTCCAAAGAAACGGCTGATAGGCTTAGGCTGATCATAGAGAACAGTGGCGCACTTTCACTAGAATGCCTTCCAGTGCGTATGTTAGCAGATATTCCACTGAAGAAGAAGCCTGCACTCTTTCTACCTCCCCACTAACCCTATTCTCTCTCTCTATATATATGCTGTTGCAGAGAGAAGAAAGATATACATAAAACTCCATAATTAATCAATCAAATTTGAGAGAAAAATGAGCTGCCTTCCTTCTCTTCTTTGCCTTCTTCTTCTTCTTCTTCTTCTCGTTGGAGTAAATGGGAAGAAGGAAGACAAGAGACAGGTTTATGTGGTTTATATGGGAGCTGTTCCTTCACACACAGCTGAGAATACTCTTAAGAACAACCATATCCAGCTCCTTTCTTCAGTTCTTCCAAGGTTCTCACAAGTTTTTTACATGGATGCCACTCAATATTCATGTATTTGCATATCTAACAGTACCTAAATCTTTATATGTACATGCATGCCACTTAAAACATTAACATCACTATCTTTTTTTAAGGGTTAAGTACATGTTTTAATGCAAAGTTTATGACACCAATCAAACTTTAGGTTTTAGAGATATAAATACATAAGAATTGTGTGGTTTATATATGTAAATTTTAATTTTTTATATTACATGACATCTTATTTATACATGAAAAAGTGTATCAATATCTTAAAATTAAAATATTGATATTTTTAAAAGATCATTTACATACATACCAACCAATTCTATGTGTTTACATATCTAACACCTAAGCATTCATATTTACATATATACCACAAATGGTTAACATTACATAAAAAATACTTCAACAATAATTTCTTAAAAGCGAAATACACTTCTTCATACCTTGACACTAAGATGTCATAAGTGTAATTATCAAACTTTAGGTGTTAGATATGTAAATACAAAAACATTATGTGGTTGGTATTTCTGTAAATTTCCCTGAGTTCTAACTGATCCATTAAGTGTAACTGGCACATCCAATCACCACCTTTGTGGTTGCTGCCAGCCATCACCATCAATCTTCACCATTATTGGTCGCAACCACCAATCCCTACCGCTCCACCATATGCTCATATAAATTGATTTATGAGACATTCAATAAACAAATAAAAACTAACACGTACATTTCAACTTAGCATAATTAAAACATAAGAAAATAAAAAATAAAAACAGAGAAAATGATTCAAAAGGAGTATTTTAGAAAAATTCATCTTTGTTTAGAATATATTTTCAATTTGCAAATCAGATGCACCCGTCAAATCATTTACGGGTGCGAGTCAAGCTGACTCGTGAGCTCAGCTCAATAAGTGGCTAGTGAACTGAGCTTGATGAGTAAGAAAAACAAACTCAAGTCAGCCCTGACTCAGACTCGTTGGCTCGTGAGCCGGCTTGTTTAAAAAAAATATTAACATAAAATACACTCAAAATATATTAAACTTCAAAAATTTATCTTTAAGGTATTATATACGTTAAGAAAATTATATTTTTATTGTATATGAGGTGATTTCTTATTATTTATCTACTAATTATTCAACCTATTTGTCAACTTATTATAAAGTTACTTAAATTAATATTATTTTATCACTCTTATATTAAACAAGTCGGCTTGCGAGCCAGCTCAAACTCGTAGACTTACGCTCGAGCTCGATAAAATTAATCAAGCTCAACTTCAAGACGAGGGCGGCTCGAGCTCTACTCGACTCCTTTACACCCCTAGACTCATTCATATTGAATTAAGCGCAGGGGACAACCAGTCGAAAAATCTCTTATTCGTCGTTACAAGAACAGTTTCTCGGGTTTTGCCGCGAGGTTATCAGAGAATGAGGCTAATGCCCTTCGCAACAAAGCAGGGGTCATCTCAATTTTTACCGACCCAATTTATCAGCTACACACCACTAGGTCATGGGATTTTTTGCAAGAAACATCGGTCGAGACAGTCTCAAATCCAGCCACTGATGTTGGCTCATCTCCCACATCCGACGGCTCGGATACGATCATCGGGCTATTGGACACGGGCAAGCTTCATTCATCGTTTAGCATGATCAATCACTTGTAAATTTATATGATAATTTTTTTTTTTCTTTCCTTACTATAAAATGAAATGAAATTGCAGGAATATGGCCAGAATCTGAAAGCTTTAGAGATGATGGAATGGGACCTATCCCTAGCCGTTGGAAAGGAGCTTGTATGGGCGGGAATGATTTCAATTCTTCTAACTGTAACAGGTGAGTTGAATGCATGTGAGGCTTTTGCTCTTTATTTCATTTTATGCAAATCAATTCATCATAATTTTGTTTTATATTGCAGATATAGCTAGAATTTTTAGTTAAAAGAACAATTTTTTCACATATTTACATGCATGCCACTCAAATCTTTCTAATATGTAATTTTACGCAGAAAGCTTATCGGAGCAAGACATTATGATCTTGAGGAGGAGGACGAGGATTCACTCACCATATTTCCAAAGGATGCAAGCTCCCCGAGAGATGACCACGGCCACGGCACCCACACCTCCTCCACGGCGGCCGGAAGCCCGGTAATGGAAGCTTCCTTCTACGGTTTAGCCGAAGGGACGGCAAAGGGTGGATCGGTATCATCAAGGATTGCCATGTACAAGGTGTGCGGATCGGAGGGCTGTCCGGGGTCGGCAATGCTATCAGCTTTCGACGATGCGATTGCCGACGGCGTGGATCTGCTGTCGATTTCGATCGGAGCGTCGGAGTTTTTCCGTCCGGATTTCACGGAGGATCCGATCGCCATTGGAGCGTTTCATGCGGTTGAGAGGGGGATTACAGTGGTGTGTTCGGCTGGGAACGATGGGCCTGGAGGTGGATCTGTGGTGAATGCTGCGCCGTGGATTCTCACCGTTGGGGCTACAACTATTGACCGCTTTTTTGAATCTGATGTTGTTTTAGGTGGGAGCCATGCTGTGGCTGTGAAGGTGTGTCTGCTTCGTCTTGACTCTCTCTTTTACCACAATAACCATGCATTTACATATCTAACCCTTCAAAACTTTTAATTTGTACAGGCATGGCATTTTACATATGCATGCAAATGTGTAATTTGCCAACATGATTTACCGATGAATTTAATTTAAATCCAACGAAACACAAAATACATATGAATTGAGTGGTATGTTTGTAAATCATCCAAAATAAAAGTAACGTTTTAGATGAAATTAAGGACTGAATCATAAGAATTTCACAAAGGAAATATGACGACATACTAATCATAAGCGAATGTTTAGGTTCATGGTTCATGCACCTCACCTGCAAGCTTTGATTTCAGGGTTCAGCAATAAACTTTTCCAATCTTAACAAGTCTGCAACTTATCCCCTCATCTACGCTGCGTCTGCAAGCTCTAATTCAAGCTCTAATGATGCAGAAGCAAGGTAATTAGCCCTCATCCTCTGATAGAACTTCTAGCCATTGTAAATATAAAATTTTGGGAAATTTATATTTCACACACCTAAACTTCTAATATTAAATACATAACATTTTGGTGCTTTAAATCTATGTATGAAAAAAATTCATTTGACATTTAAAAGATGGTAATAGTGCTATTTTTGATGTGATATTAAAGATTTGAGTACCAAGCATTTAATATGAAAGTTTAGGTCGCGACATGTTAGTGCCTAAAAATTGATCGTTATGCATAAATGCCCCCAATGTTTTTCATATATTGCTTATTCTGACCATATCACTGAATTGTGCAATCAAGCCACTGCAATCTCGACTCACTCAATGAACGAAAGATCAAAAGAAAAATTGTTCTGTGTGAGCATTCGGACGACGATAATTCGAAAATTATGAAAGCCGAAGATCTGAAAACCAAGGGAGCAGTCGGTGCAATTTTCATCGATGACGTGGGAAGATCAGTTGCTTCAATGTACATAGATTTTCCTGCTACTGAGGTCACCACAGAAGGGTCTGAACAGATTCTCAAGTATATCAATTCAACCAAGTAAGAAAAATGCAAAAAACAAAGCTTCAATTTTGCATTATCAGTGCATCTAAAGTGAGCTAATTTCTGCGTTTGATTTGAAGAAACCCAACAGCTACAATTCTTCCTACTATCACAGTTACGAAGTATAAACCAGCACCAGAAGTGGCCTATTTTTCATCAAGAGGTCCATCTAGTCAAACAAGCAATATAATAAAGGCAAGGAAGTTGCTAAAATGAAACAACATATTTCAATTTAGGGAAATTTACATACCTAGCACAAAATTATTAAGTATTTACCATATCATATCTAAGCTTTCATATTGACATACAGAACGCTTTGGTGCTTTAAACATGTGCATGAAAACTTGTATTTCAATTTTGAAAAGTGCTAATAGTGTCATTTTTTATGTGATATTAAATATTTCAATGCTCTCTGTGTGTAACTATGAAAGTTTAGGTGTGAGATATGTAAATACACAAGAATTGTGTGCTATATATGAAAATCCCCATTCAATTTAAAAAGATATTCTGCCTTGCTGAAGATTATGTTAGAGTGTATTTTTGAGGTGCAGCCTGACATTAGTGCTCCGGGAGTGAACATACTGGCTTCATGGACACGGAATGAAGACTTCGATGTGGCTCCACCTGGCCGAAAGCCCTCACACTTTAATCTTGTTTGTGGGACCTCCATGGCTTGCCCTCATGTTGCGGGGATTGCCGCAACGATCAAATCGTGGAATCCGACTTGGAGCCCGGCGGCCATAAGATCAGCTATCATGACAACAGGTTAGAGATTTTTGGGGGCATTGCACATAACCACCTAATGTCTATGTAATTGCATATCTAACACCTGAACTTCATATTTTACATTTATACCACCCAAATCTATCATATCACATAGAAAATACCAACATTTTAATTTTAAGAAAAACGATTTTTCAACATTTTTTCATATCACGAATGATATACTCCCCAAATAAATCCACACTTAAATCTGTATCGACATGAGCTGCTCATGTGGCAGGTGACAATGTATCTTTTTGGATCTTAAAGTTAATACCAGTCTCTTTCTCTTTGATTTCTTGACCATTCCAACAAAACAGTAAGAATTTCGACAATTATCTACTTCTAAATAAAATACCTTGATTCTGACTAGAATATCTTAAAGTGAGAAAATTTATTTATGAGTATGTAACTGATGAGTCGAAAGTGTGATGGGAATTATAAATTCAAGGAAGATATACATACATATCAATTACCACATAATTCCTATATATTTCTAAATCTAGCAACTAAACTTTGATTTTTATAACTATACGACTTTGCCTATGCATATAAAGTTGCGTTTCATACTTATAAAGGTCTACTTGGCGCTATTTTTTAATGTGTTGTAAATAAAAAAGTCAACGATTAAATGTCTGATACCTAAATAAATTAATTTGAGAGGTGCAGCAATGCTCATAAGAGTACCGCCAGAACATTTTAACCATAAAACTGACAAAGAAGCCATCACTGATGTGCAGCGATGCAGTCAAACAATGATAAAGCCCCGGTGACAACAGATTCAGGCTCTGTTGCAACGCCATATGACTATGGAGCAGGAGTAATAAATCCAACTAGAGTATTGCAGCCTGGTCTAGTGTACGAAATAGAGACGAAGGACTATCTGCAATTCCTCTGCAACTATGGCTACACGACAAAAACAATTAAGAACATGACAGTCATTCCGAATGGATTTGAGTGCTCAAAAAACTCGAGTAAGGATTTGATATCGAACCTCAACTACCCTTCAATCGCAATTTCGGGTTTCACGGGAAAAGAAAGAAAGGTTAGTCGAGAGGTGAAGAATGTTGGGGGAGTGGAAGATACAACTTATGTTGTTAGCATTAAATCGCCATCACAGTTGAGTGTGGAGGTTTTACCTGATAAGCTTCAGTTCAGTAAGAGTGTTACAAAGTTGAGCTACCAAGTAAGCTTCACCGCTTCAAGTTCTCGACTTAAAGGTGATTACTTTGGATCAATTACCTGGTCAGATGGAACTCATAGGGTTAGAAGCCCTTTTGTGGTGAAAAGCAGTTGATTAAAAGCCTAAAGTTTGGGCAAGTTTCTGTATTTAATGGCAAGAGGATGATAATAAGAACAATGAGAAGTAGAAGGTGAAGATAAGAGAGATCATTGTAAGAGGTAAATTGCTCTATGATCAGCAGCGCCTTAAATTTTAAATAAATATTTCAAGTATAGCCTCCCTTCAACTAATCTCATGGATGATTTAGAATGTGTTTGATGATACCTAGTGCTGAAAAACATGATTTGCTCAAAGGGCAAACATTTAACGAGTCTTTATCTATAGTAATTCCAAAGATTTTTTTTCCTTTTATTTTAAGAGAAGAACTAGTTACCAAAACTTTTTCAATAGTAATTTTATCAATTCAACTAACCAACAAAATAGCACGAAGAAATGGTTCTAAATGAAAATAACATCAAAATTTAAAACAAGTTTAGGACTTGACATCTGGTCCTCAATATCCAGTTATAAGTGATAAAACAGACATATTTACATAGGAATGTGGTAGAACTTTGACATAAGTTTACAGTGTTCTTCAAACCATTAGAATGCATCATCATCATCGTTAACGGAGTAAAAGAGGCACAAGAAGAGCGAATGATTCACATCACTCACTCAAACGCCCACTGGTTCTCTCTCCGCACCTCTTCCTCTTCCTCAGGAGTGAAGTCGTTCTTGATGTTGAAGGTCTTCCGGATCTCTTCAGGTGTCTTGCCCTTTATCATGTCAGCAACTGTCTGGCAAGTCAGGTCAAGAAGGCCCTTGATGTTTAGATAGTTTGCAGCCTGAACAATGAAATATAAAATATCAAGTGGTTAGAAACAATGAATAGGGTATAGTTTACAACACTTATAACTATCATATAACTACATAAAGGTTCCTAATTACCACCGTATGACTCAAATAGCAATCCTTCCGTAAGTCGACTAACATTAAAAATTATCCAGAAATATAGAATAAATAAACAGCAGTAAAGAGAAGATATTATCAGAAACGGAGCTCAGAAAAGTAGAAAAAATAAACTAGCCAGTTGGAAACTACTTCCACTAGTTAAAATGACAAATAAACATGACATCTCAAAGTAGCTTGAAAATTGTTGAAGAGCAGTGTAATTTTAAATATAAACTTTAATAGACAAAATCAAAATATAGAATAAAAATGAGAAAATAATGTCAATCAAGAACAAGAGAAACCAATTGATACTGAGCATAAGGAGATCACAAGAAGATAAAAAATCTTAGCAAATAGGTGTTCAAGATTCCAGATCATGATCATAAGTACTTGATATAAAACAGCAGTAAATAACACAATCATGAAGTGCAAATTTAAAATAAGACTAAATGCATAAAAAAGGGATGGCACAGAGAATCACGGTGAATAATAGAAGACAGGAAAAGATAAAATTAAAATGAACAAATGCTTGCTATAATTATGATCTTGCACTTTTTTCCATAAGCATTTTAGTTTCTTTGCAGATATTGTTGAGACGGTCTTTATGGTCACATGGTTTCAATTTCCTCCTCTCTTATTATAATTTTTTCTTAAACGGCGTTAATAGAGGATTTGACCATCAGATCATAACAATACTTATGGCTGACCATATACCCATTAAAAACCACTCTAGCATGATTAAAGTCTCTATGATCACATGAATTCAATTCTCCTTCCCTATCTTTTTATGGATCTTAAGTTCCTTTGTTTTAATCCGATTGTTAAACCTATGCATGAACTGTCATATTTACTTACATAGCAATTCAGTGCTTTAAACCTATGCATGAAAAGCTGTATTTCACTTTTAAGAAGTGATAACTATGTGTGCAAATATGAAAGTTAAGGTGTGTGATAAATAAATACATAAAAATTGTGCCCTATGTATGTAAATGCACCAAAAACATTTCTCCTAATATTGCACATCTTGCAAGCAAAGGTATATAATTGCTTGTGCATAAATACACAAACACCATATGAAAAAGTGAGACGAGTTCAATATTAACAATAGAAAGATAAAAATATTGGGAAATTTACATAAGTAGCATACAATTCTTATGCATTTACATATGTCACGCCTAAACTGTCATATTAACATACATAGCACTCCAGTGCTTTAAATCTATGCATAAATATGTGTATTTTATTTTTAAAAAGTGGTAATAGTTTTATTTTTGATGTGATACTAAAAATTTGAGTGCTATGTGTAAATATAAAAGTTCAGGTGTGAGATAAGTAATTACATAAGAATCGTGTCCTATGTATGTAAATGCCACAAAAAACCTTCCTCCTAATAGTGCACATCTTGCATGCAAAAGTATATAAATGCCTGTGTATAAACACACAACCAACATATGAAAAAGTAAGATGTGTTCCATATCAAATAACAAAATCACATCTGTAAGGATCTGACGTCTGTATAAAAAAAATAGTAGCATGGACTACACTTTGCGTTTGCAAAAGTGTTAGCAGGAAAAAGAACAACAAACCTTTATCCCACTAGATGGTGTAGCTACAAGAATTCTTTTTCTCTATTGTGTCCTATTGAGTGTTATATTTTCATTTAATTCTAATAGATTAAGATTATTTTTTATACAATATGGTCTTTTTAGGACTGCCCCCTTCCTTCCTTAACATAAGCTGAATCTAAAACATCTACTCTCCTAATCGGATCAACAGCTCCTAATCGGATCAACTAATCGGATCAACAGATGGTTGACGTTTAATATGACCAAACCATCTAAGACGACTCTCATGCAAAAGTGTATATTGAGAAATTCCTGCATCTAGATAGAAGGGTTAACAATTTCAGAAAGCTGCACTAAATCAATAGGATACTTTAGAAATTCAATAGAGTTACTCTTGGGTTAATTTCACAATATGCTTATGATCATGAATGTTTAAATGAAAACATACTTTTTCATTTTTTTTTTAAATCTTTTTTTGTTTCTACAGATAAAACCATAGGAAATTCTAAGATTTAAAGTACATGTAAAGCTTAAAGAGGATTCTACTTTTAGAACTTTTTGTTAAAAAAATAAATTTCTTTATTTTTTATTTTTTTATATTTTGTTACGTAGGAAAAGGAAAATATTTCAATTACAACAGATACAACATAATATTCGTGTATGATGCATTCTCCTAAATATATTAACATATAAATTTTAAAGTCAACTTTATGCATGAATAACAATTATGCCTATAAAAGCAATCTATTGCACTAAAAAAACTAAAAACAATTTAAATTCAAATAAATTGGAAAGAAATTCCGTCAAAGAAAGCCACAATAGGGCCACCACTAAGACTAAAAATAAGATTTAAGTATTTTGAAAGTTATCGAAACAAAAAAAGTAAATTACCATGCTGACTTTATCCTCTACCATTCATGACTCATTTAGAGTCATCATCATCACAATAGTTGTGAAAAAGAGAATGGCGAGAACAACCTCAAATAACACTTGTTATGTAATTAGGTAATGGACTTTATTGTGGGTGTTTAAAAAAAATCTTTGGAGATGACATTAAAAAAATAAAACAAAGGAAACTCTCGGGCAAGCCAAATTTATCATAAAACGTACCTTTATGTTATCAATCTTCAAATGATACTGTTAGTCAGAAAGATGGTGTGACAAAAAAAAATTGTCAGGATATCATGACAATTTATAAGACTATGGGTTTCAAAATCATTGGATTTACATGGAGATTAGTACAATACAAACTCTCAATATGTATAACACTAATCTAAAAGTAGATCCAATGGCAATCAAGCCCATCCTATTACAATTTATATCAAACTATTGTGACATAATTTTGTTTGATAGAGTAGATGGTACAAAAGAGATCTTTTGAATGCAACATAATCTATCTTTCAAATGCAAATCAAGCCCAAATTTCAAATAAGAATTCTTAACATGATAGATTTGGGATAGAATTAAATTCAACTTAGTTAATGGCGTGCGTGGGTTTCGTTAAAGCTAATTGGCTCAAACTAATATTGATTTGTGTAATGCCCCAATGAACTAAAATGTCTAACAAGTGAAACAAAGAAACAATTTAAATCAATAATCATGAAAAAGGTAACTCATCAAAATACATTTTACATTCTCAATTAATAGATACTCAAATATAAAAGGCCTCCCGTTGCAAAGCACTAGTGTGCAAGCCAAATTCACCAAATATAACTCCCATAAAAGACCCCAATCACTCACTGCAACACAATGTTACTTAAAATCTGACTATAAATTAAAAATGAAAAAGCACAACCAAAACATGGTAGAGAATCTTCTACCATGACCAAGGAGTCCAAGGAAATGCTATATACAATATGCAAGAGCATAAACACAGCTTATAGGTAACACATCATCACCATTAATGTTCGCATTCAGCAAAGGATGACGCCACAAATATCACAATCCATAAATTGGGCTAATCAATGGCAACCTGGCAAAACTGGGTAAGCATGCAGCCTAAGATGCTTATAGGCACATACAAAAACACATCTTCAAATGCATTCCAATGGGAGAGAAGCTTTGATCCACCAAAATGAAAACACATCCTCTTCACATCTATTGCAAACCCCAATACCAACAAAATAAGATTGTTTCTAGTTTATTGTTTGGTTTTATCCAAACAATACACATCTTTAGTTGTTCTTGTAAGTTAGAAGTCAAATAATTTGGCAAGGAAATCCGTCAAAGAAAGTGCCACAATAGGGTTGTCACTAACACTAAGATAAAGATTCAAGTTTTTCAAAGTTGTCCAAACAAAAAATTAAATTGCTATGTTGACGTTATTCAGAACAATCACAAACGACTATTCATAACTCATTTAGAGTCATCATCATCACAATAGTTGTGCAAAACAAATTGGCAATAACAACCTCAAATAACGCTTATTAATCAAATGTAATGAGGTAATGGGCTTCATCATGGGTGTTAAAAAAATCTTTGAAGATGATTTTAAGAAATTAAATAAAGGAAACTCCCCGGTAAGCCAAAATTTGTCATAAAATATACCTTTATGCCATCAATCTTCAAATAGGACTAAGTTAGTAAGAAAGACTGTCTCAAAAATTTGTGTCAGGTTATCATGACAATTTATATGACGATGGGTTTCAAAATCATCAGATCAACATGCAAGGTTCTAAAAATTGAACAGAACCAAGCAGTTCAACCACTAATCGACAATTGACCCGATCTGCAAACCCCAGAAAACAGTTTCAGCCTTCAAACAGTGGAAAACCGGTTGCACATGTGGTTCAACTCGTAAACCGGCAATCCGATTCACCTAATTTACACGTGATTCGTCATTTAATTCCCTACCATAATTTTTTATCGCGATCAAAACCTTTCTGTCAAGTTGAGGTTGAAGATGCAAGCAAAGGTTCGAAGGCTCGAAGCTCTCCAACGCTTGAAAGACAGAACTCTCACAGACGAAGGCTCTAATGCTCGAAGATCTCCTTCTGTTCAATTCACTTTCGCAGTTTTTGACTTCGTACGGCGGTCTCCATTCTAAGCTCTCGTTCGAAGCAAAGCTATATTGAAACACCATTGTAAGCATTTTTTGCTTCCGGTTTCCCCTTTTCTTATGGCTTTTCTTTTCCCTCTTTCCTCAATAATTGACATTTTTTGCTTCCTATTCTGTTGAGAACCTGGAATCCATATGCCGAGGAAGAAATTTTCATGCACAAAGTGAGAACACATTCCAATCTTCATATAGGCCCTTGATTTTCACAATTTTACTTCCCCAAAAGATTTTTTACCATACATGCTATCCTGTTTTAGAAGATTCTTCAACA